TGGCCTCGCCTGGGCGGATTACGCCCGCCTCCTCACGCTGCTCCGCAATCGCGTCGGGGAAGTCGAGGCACCCCGGGAAATCGAGAAACCCCGGGAAGTCGAGGCACCCCTCCAAACCCCTCGAGGGCGGCGCAAAGGCCCCCCTGACAGGAAACGCCCCGCGGCCTGGGCGGGCCCCCCTTCCCCCGCGCGTGTTTTTCCCCGATCCCGCGGCGGCCTCCCCGTCTCCCCGCCTCGCCCCTTCCCCTCACGGGATCGCCCTGACGCTGGCGGAGCAGTCCCTCTGGACGGCCGCCCCTTCGTCGGTTTCACCCTCCTTTTCATCGGTTTCACCTCCATTTTCGTTGGGTTCGCGGGAAACCGAGGCGTTTCGCCTCCGGGCGCGGGTGATTCGCCACGTCGAGGGGATCTACGCGGCGGGGTTGGCCGCGTTTCTCCTCCGGGCGGCCGCGTCGTGGGCGGCGTTGATTCGCGGGCGTTTCGATCCGGTGGAATCGTGGTGGATGAGTTTGTGTTGTTTCGACTTTGGGAGCACCTCCAGGCGGCCTCCGAGCCGGGGGGGCGGGTTGGGGAGGCTGGGGAGGGGGGGGAAATGGGGGAAATGGGGTCGGCGCGATCCCCCGCCGCGTGGGATCGCCCACGCGCCGCGGAGGTGATTCGCCGCGTCCTCCGCCAGCGCTACACCGCGACGTCGAGCACGGGAAGCGGGGTCGGGATCTTCACCCACGCGATTATTCTACAACAAATTGAAGCCGGTCGGGAATGTTCGTGATATCGCCCTTGTTTGGCTTTATCGATCCCTTTTCACCGAGTTTCTTTATATCGAGGAATGTCAAACCACATGAGGGGGTGCGTGTGGGGGTGTGGGATATAACTGGATGGTGGTATTTCTTTCGGGAAGTGGTAGCCGTGGTGATTCATACGAGGCTCCACACGAAACGCTTTGCGGTCGGAAGGAAAGGTCTCACATTTGGACAATTTGGTTGTCTTCTGGATGGATATTTTTTCTCCTCGAACACCTTGGCGGATGTTTTTTTTTCTTAACTCAAGCTATTGGACAATGGGATTGTTATGTTTTCCTTCGGTTTTTTTCCTCCCTCCCAAACCGCAAAGGTTCCTAAAGAATAAAAAATTCAAGGATTTTAAAGCCTTGAAGTGAACCGAAACCATTGCATCGACTCCTCTTTTTCTTTTCGATCGCGAATGGCCACGCCCGCTTTGTACACGTGCGCGGCGATCACGGAGTGGGCGAACACCATCTTCCGGACCTCCCACGAGTCGCTCATTCAGTTTCAACCCAAAGACGTCGCGCTCCTTCTCTATGGTATTTTAAAAGCGCACGCCACCCTCGTTCAGAGCGAGCATCCTCCCACGGAGGATTTTTCCGCCCTCTTGTCCTGCTGTTCATTGCAGGAGATTCAGTTTCAGGCGAATCCGTCCGCCACGACGCAGTTGCGGAATGCGGAGCACGTTTTGAGCGTCGTTCGGCGGGTTTCTAGCGGATTGGCGGCGCGGGGGGCCTTTCCTTCCTCCTCCTCCTCCTCTTCCTCCGCCCCCTCCTCTTCCCCCTCCTCCGCTTCGCGTGCGTTTGGCGTGATTGGTGAAACGCTGACAGCGGAGGTGTGGTTGGATGGGAGGGCATTCGTGGAGGAGTTGAAGCTCTGGCGGTGGTTGCGGGAGATCGCGGTGCGGTTGGATTCCACGGTGGTGGGCATCCAACACGCCGTACAGGCGTACCTCGGCGCCGCCTGCACTTCTGTTCTCGGGGAAAAATCCGGCGCTCCTTCTCGACCTTTTGAAGCGATAGAGGGGGATTTCAATTCCGTCAAGAACGCGGCCGAAGGAGCGAAGGAAACCCGTGAAGGGGTGGAAAAGACCGTGAAGCTGCTTCCGGCAGCGAAAAAATTTCGTTTAGAAGGGGAAACCGCCATCGATTCGGGCGCGGCGGATGGCGATCGCCGTGGGGATTTGTTTTTAAAGCTGAAGGAGGCGTTGGGGATCGCGAAGGCGAACCCCCCTGGCGGCGAGGGCGCGAATCTCGACAAACGGACGGAGGTGGTTTGCTCGACATGTCCGCTCATCTTCGCGCAGGCGCTGCAGGGTAATTTGGAGTACCTCAAGACATTGGAATCACAGAGGCGCGCGGCGCTCGCGGCGTGTGGAAAGAAGAATATAACGGAACTCTTGGCGATTCTCAGTAGCTTTGCGTAGTGAGGCGAGAAAAAAGAGAAAGCGAGGGAGGATTCCATGATGATTTGGTTACTTTGCGGCTTTATTCTGCTCATGATTTCTTTTTTTTTCGGTATCACCCTTTCTCCGTGCTTAGATGCCGGTGTTCGTAAAGCGGAGATGAAAAGAATATTTCATCTCTTGGAAATCTCATTTAGATTGTATGCTCGTCATCTCTTAGTCTTTACGTAGACTTTTGGTGCTACACTCCACCGACTGTGTAGTTTTCTGTAGATGATTACTTTCGTTTTTTTCTTTAGAAATTCAAGGGAACATTGAGAGCCTGTTGTTTCTTCGTTCCATTTCTCCGCAAACGAATGGTCGGTATCCAACACTGCATTCTTCCTTATTGACTTCTTCTGATGTGTATAGTTTAGGTACGCGAGCCTCTTTTCGTTTTATTTTGCGTACGCGTGTGTGTTTACAGTTAGGTTCTTCTAGGGAGCATCGGATCTCGTTTTAAGTTGTAGCACGAATCTTTCTCAGGGAAGCGGATCAATCAAACGGGCGGCTACCATCAGCTCCTTGTGCACGCCCGTGAAAGACTCCCTCACGTGAATTGCAGAGATCCCGGTTTGCATATTATTCGTTGCCGATCAAAAGATAATAGGAAGGAAAAGGAAGAAAAGAACAACCACGACCCCAACTAAAGCTCAAGCTGATGGCGGAAGCATCGTCCGGTGCTAGGAGATTTCTTTTTCGGCGAGGAAGGATGTCGTTTCCGTTCTCCACCCGTCTGCTAACCTCGCGTCGTTACCTCGCCAACGAGTTTAAGGATATCCAGCGTACGAGCTCTAACGCCGGTGGAGCGGCGCAGCCACCCGCCATCCCGCATAATGATCCCATCCTCCCGATGGATTTCAACCCTCACATCGAGTGGTTTGAATATCCGAAAGAGATTTTCGATCCGAAGTACCCGTACACCCGCGAGGAGAGCATCCGTATGACGGAGGAATCCTGGGAAAGCACGATGGATGAGATGGCGTCGAAGTACGGCATGCGGCTGAATATGACGTCGAAGCCGACGTTTTGGATGGCGTGGGCGATGATGTTTTTTTACGCGTGGTATACGCTCTGGGGGTGCTACCGCGCGATGGGAACAGAACCCGGGTGGAAGCACTTTAAGAGTATCGTTATGAATCAACCCAACGCCCCGACGCTCGAGGAGGATGATATCTACCTCGATCAGTGGATGCGGCCGGAGATGCGGGAAAAATTCAGCCGCTATGATCGTTTCTGGAATTGGAAGCCGCTCGTGAATCGAGAGGGCGCGAAAACGAGCTGGTCGATTCCGATGGTTTACCAGGATGAATCTGAGTGGAAGCATATGACGAGCAAGTACTAAAGCGGAGGCGGCGGCCAGGCAAAGGAAAAAATATCAACATCATCAAACAAACCTCCACGCCTCTACCAAAGGAAGGAAAATGCGTTATGATAGGTATCATTATTATTATCTATGTGTATTTAGCAAGTTTTTCAGTTTTGTAGTCGTTCTTAGTATTTGTACTGTTTCATATGGTAGTTATTAGCGTTATTTATCTTGGTTTATACCGATTTATTCTTTACAGTCTCCTCCTAGTTTACAGAAAACAACAAAAACGGAGAGGTTGCCCTTGCGTTTCTTAGTGATGTAGTGTAGGATGCATCACCCCTCACTTTTGTGAAGAATAGTATAAATGGACTTCTTCAAAAAGGGGTGAAGTGCCCAAATGTTGGCAAACTATTTCGCCTTGAAGCGTTTTCAAGTGTGAGTAGAAGTAGAACTAGCACCAGTTGTGTTCGTTTTTTTTTTAGAATAAACTAAAAATATAGAACATCCGTTTAGGTTCTCCACAGTGGGAAGGCTGCATCCGGGAGAATTTGATTCCCCTGTGAAAATAAATAGCTATGGTTCTAATGCCCTTTCCTGAATCTTGACGGAATAAAAGTTGTTTTTCTCTCTCCTCTTATTTGACATTTTTTTTTTGGCTTTTGACCTAATTTTTCCTGTCGGTAGTAAGGATTCAAATCATTACCCCAAAGTTCAGGAGCTGAACGATCTTTTAGGGTTCTCATTCCTTCGCTTCTTTCGGTGTATTAATATTAGTTATCATTATCCTGAATTTCCCTCTATCGCTAGAGATAGAGGATTGTATTGATAGAGGCCAATATCGGTTGTGAAGGGTCCACCCACACACACCCCTATAACCAAAGACTCTCTTTCAACCATCGCATCTCGCGCGACCGCCATGTCGAGCGGATCCAATCCCAATCCCAACCTCGACCCCCGATCCCCACGCGCCGTGTTAGCCCCCTGGCAGCTCGCCCCGTCGTCAAAGGGGAACCCCCCCAATCGGGTGCATCCAACCCCGGACGGGGCGGCCGCCGTGGGGCCGGTTCGTCGTTTAGGGCATCTTTCAAGCCGATCCTTTCAACAGGAGGAGAGGGAGGGGGGGGAGGAGGGGTACGGCGCCGTGAAAATCCCTTTCGACGAGTCCAAGGGCGGGCGGCCATTCTTCACCACCGCGCTTCCACTCACGACGAGGACGGTTTCCGAGAAATCCGTGCACGTGGTGGGGGGGAGACCCCTTTCATCCGTGCCGTATCGGAGTTTCATCTCCACCGATGGGGATTCTTCGGCCCACTTGTCGTCCCTCTCGTCAGTTCACTACGCCGAGATCAAATCGTTGAGCGAGGAAATCGAGGAGCATCTCCAGGGGGAGCGCCAGATCCGTCGAAAAAACGCCCAACGAGTCTTCAAACCCCGCGCGCCTTCGCTTTTTTCCGTAACCCTCCCGCACGTTCGCGAGGATGGTTTCATCGAGTTGGGCCGCGACGGCTACGCGCGAACCAAACCCCTCAACCGAGCGGTGGCGGAGAGTGGTGAGGCCCCGACGATGAGCACGAAAAGTGATGCTTGTGGGAGCAGCAATTCGCAAAAAAATACCCCGTGCGCGCGCGATGAAGGGCGTTCATGGCGGTTGCCGTGTGGCGGGTTGTCGGTGAATCGGATTTTGCAGCGCCTGATTGATCGCGAGACGCCGTCGAAGCGGACGCTCTTCACGGGGCTGGAGGTTCAACGCCTGATGCGCGACGTTCCACAGGCGAGTGAGTTCGTGGTGTTGCTTTTTTGGTACGTCGTTTTTCGTGGACGGCGAACGTGGGTGGAGGAGCTGCTCGTCGGGCGCTGTGAACGGCTTTTTGTGGCGTTCCAGGAGCTTCTCCCGGATGACGATTCACTCCACCAGCGGTGGACCCTTCCGTCGTACGAGCATCTCGAAATCCTCGTGGGGGAGCTCGAACACATGATTCATCTCCGCCGAGCGTGGGAGAGCGCGAAAGGGAACGTGGAAGAGGAGGGGATGATCTTGGCCTCGCACTCCCATAGTGATCCCTCGAGGCTCCAAAGCACCATATATTCTGAAGCCTCGTCGAGTTGGGATCTATTTCACGAGTTTATGCACCACCGGTATGTTTATACAAATAAGTACCTACCAAGCGTCCTGAAGTCTAAGATTTGGCCAAAAGAAGAAGACATTAAGCAGCTCGTCGAGGCGCTTGATCTTCTAGCCGTCTCGCGGGCGGAATATATGGATCTCGTCCAGCTCGAGGCCCGCACCTACCGCCGTCTGGCGCTCCTTTTCAGCGAGATTTTCCACACTTTCCGATCCCACAACACGAAAAAAAATTCACACGCGCTGAAGCTTTTCAATACAATGAAGCTGCGGGCTTCCGATTCCGATTCCCTCCACCCCGCGGTGGATTCCCCTTCACGGGATTTAGCGGCGGCGAAGGATCCCCCCCACGCGAAGGGAGGCCCGGTCGCCGGAAAGAATATGTACACGGAGAACAACGTCGCGAAGCTGAAGATGAAGGATATCGTCATCAACACCTACCTTAGCATTGCCGCGCGGATTACCTATTACACCTTGGTGTATTGCTTTCCGAATGATATGTACACCGGGGAAATCTTCGATCGACGGTTTCGTGCGGATTTGCTGCGGCTGTTGCTTTATTGGAGTAGTGGGGTGGTGCTCGTGCACACCCCCGCGGTGGGGTGGCCGATCCCTCGCGAGGAGGATTTCCTCCACGATGCCGTGGCGGAGGAGGAGGGCAGGGAAAACGACCTCAGCGGCGCCCTCGCGCCTTTAGGCCTGCTTGGAGGAAACGACCCCAGCAGTTTACAGGAGCGGGGGTGGGAAACCCCGAATCTCGTGAATAGCCTTTCGGGAGGAGGGGCCTCGCCGCTCGCGATGCGGCCGCCGTATGAAGGGATCACGCAAGCGGAAAAAGGGGTTCGCGATGGCAGTGAACGAGGGGAGTTGTTATCCCCTCCTTCGGTGTCCTTTAGAGGGCTCCTCACGCGGCAGGGGGTGGGGGATGGGCTATTCCACACCACCAAGTCCCCCATCACGGATCTTCACGCCCCCTTCGAAGGCGCCTTATCGAAAATGAAAAAAGGTGGTAAGGGCACGAGCGTCTCGTGCGCGAATCCCGTCGCTAGTAAAGAAGCAGGGGGCGGGAGTAATCTCGACAAACATCGTCCAGTGAGTCTCATCGTCGATTCCATCCAAGAACGCGACGATGGGATGCTCTTTTCCCCGCAGAAGGAGGCGAAAGCCGATGCCATGCGAAGAGGCAGCCTACCCCGAGTGGTTCATCGACATAGCATCAAAGCTGATGTTCGCTCGCGAAAATCGTTCGTGAAGCCGGGCTCAGTATCCTCAAGAGAACCGCTCAGGGGCAAGCACGCCGCCAGAAAGACTCAGCTATTCGGGATTGGCAACGGAAACGCGTTCAACAATGTAGATGTTTCTATTGCTAACGGAGAGCACCGCTTAATGGCGGAGTTTCATCATTACCAAAAACACGCTCGACGTCTCTTGACGGATCTTCAAAAGTATACCTCACGGCAGTATAAAATGAGCTTCCAATTTGATCCGAAGCGATACAAGGGATTCGAAAAGAGCACCGGTGACGACAATGCGATGAATCCTCGAGGGTCTATCAACGTCACGCTCAAGTGGCCTGCGTTGGGGAGAAAAGGGAAGGAAACTTTCCCGAATGTCAGCCGTGATCACGCTTCCGGCAAAGCTTCTCAAGAAGATGGTGCGGCGATGGGTAATGCTGCAAACCGGAAAAGCGATGAATTCCACAGACCGGCCGACGATTCCCAAGAGTTGAGTGCCACGGTGTTGACGAGGAAATACCCTAGCTTGATCGAATCCTCACCGAGTTTTACCGCGAGATCGAAAGACCGACGCGTGAAAGACACCGTGATCTCGCTTTTGATGTTCAAGAAGAAGAAGAAGAAGAAGAAGACGAAACCCGCCCACCCACTATCCTTTCCCCAGTCTGCGCCCGAGGAGGGAACGAAACACTTTTCACAACTCTCCTCCACCTACACGCGGTCGGTTTGCTCGTCCTCTTCGGGGGTTTCCAGGCATTCCGGCACCACCTCGGACGAGGAAGGCGCGGAAACGCCGGGCCTTCAAACGACCAAACGAGGCTGTAAGAACATTACCACCCAATTAAGCAACTCCAGCCTCCTTATCAACCCCAAGGCTCGATCGCGGCAATCCATGGCCGATCCCTTGATCTCGAACCTCCCGGTCAAAAACACGAATCGACCGGCTTATGAATCCACGCGGTCCTATCGACGCCCGACGATCCTCCCAAGCCTCTCCCCGCGAACGAATCCATTCTTTTCCGACGCCGAAGGACAAAACTCGTTGAGCGATGGCCTGCTCCTATCCTCCCTCGAAGGCAGCCAAAGCCGGCTGCACGGGTCGCGGCAACTGACGAACCTCGAAGGGTTGCGGGATTCCCCCCCGCGGGTAATCCGAACCCGCTCCGGCAAACGAAGTTTCTCGCAGATGCGGCAAAAACTCAGTCGGGCGCCCGCGCAACACGCGCTGACGACGGCTGGGCTCTCCTCCCACCTTTACGAACCCTCCCGGATGGCCTCCTTGTCGACGGTGAGCAGCCTCGGGCAGGGGGCGACCGCACGCAGCCCCTTTTCTCTCGCCGTCGGGGAGGGGAAATCCGGAAAAATGGGCAAACGACCGAAACCGCACTCGCCGCTTTCGTCTGAGGAGGGTCGACTGCTGGAAAAGGAGGCAGGGGGGAGGAAGGGGGGGGGGGCCTCGCGAGGGGGTGGCCGCGATTCCTATTTGCTCTCCACCTACCCACTCGCGACCTGCTCGAACGACGTGCGGGAGTACCTCTGCCTGCGGTG